AAGCTCTTGTAGTTTAATTGTCAAAATGCCTCTTTATTGTATCACATACATAAGAGGAGTTCTGAGTTCAAATCTCAGCAAGAGTTCTTATTTGCTGATTCATGGTTTGTAAAATTAAAATAGGGCTATGAATTTTTATGTCTATATTAAAGTTTTTGTTTTTATAAGTCATTGTTTTTATTTGACATTATTAAAATCAAGTTTTTTTTTTTAATTTGATTAGAACTCTGGCAGTATGATTTAAAAAAACTATTCTTATTTAATGAAATTTTCCGAGAATCTATCATAGTATAAAGCGACTTGACGAGTAAAATATCACTTGCCACAATGTCCAAGCGTAAATAGTGTTTGACAAATGGTAAAACGTACTAAATTTTTTGTGCGTTTTCTAATTATGACATCTGCTTTCTCAACTGCCGGCATATAATATGATAATATCTGCTAATCGGCAAACCTGTGAGGAATACCAAATGATCAATAACTATGAGAGCGTTTTAAATTAAAATACTACTACTTTTAATCATGATTTTACATGAATTTATATCTAGCGACATTTAACGGTAGTGTTGCGACATTTAACGGTAGCGGAAATTCGTGCGACATTTAACGTTAACATTGCGACATTTAACGGCAAATGATTTTGCGACATATAGCGGCAGTTGCGACATTTAGCGGTATTGGTGCGACATTTAGCGGTAAGAGTGCGACATTTAGCGGCGTTGCGACATATAACGGCGCCACACTGATGTTTAAAGGTTCCGTTGCTAAATTTGCAAAGAGTTTTTCGATACATTTTATTTTCATCTACGCTTAACTGTATAACTACAGTGATCTAATTACTTGCAGTTAATTGCCGAACCATAGTTAGCAGGAAAGTTTTAATAATAGTATTAAATATTCAAATAAAATATCAATTTTGAAAATTATAGTTTTTATAAAGAATGATTTGTTTACGTATAAAGGGAAATAGTTTACCCTTTCCGTAACCATAGAAATCCGCATACAACTTGTCATTCCCGTTTGGTTCTTCATTAGAATGTGCTGATGTCAAAGCTTGTCGAAAAATGTTTAACTGAGGGAAAGAAAATATTCACGTATGATAATCAATCCGAAAACATAAGATGCTATCTTTTAAATGCTCAAATATTAAACATGAGTTAAATTATAGATATATGTATCCTTTGTATAAATTATAAGAGACAATTCTAATGTTTGCAAAGACTTTTAGCTAGCTAACGTTGATGTCACTAATGCTAACTTAACCCTCATACGTTGTATTACGTGCGGATAAGAATCTAATGCAATGATTTATAGTTGTGTCCTAAATTCAACAAAAGGACAAAAAAACCGAAACAAATCGTAAAAAAAACATTTTTAATTTTTAGCATTCATGCGACATATAATGTACTTAATGTTTAATGCATTTTTTTCTTCATAAACTTTTACTTTTATTTATCCTGTTATCAATAAGCTTATTATTAAAAACTATTTAAACTTTTATAAACCTGTCTCTTCGAAATGCTTTGTTTTTCTCGAAACACTGTCCAGGTAACACTTTCGTAACACCTTGGTGTGGTCAATGAGCCACGGTACCGGAAGTACTTTTCTGGCGAGTGTGGTAGATAATTCCTTATTGGAACAACTGCAATTTCTACCCGATTGTTCCAATCTGGATTGAAAAAATGTTAACAAGAAAATGTTTATTAGAGTATTTTAGTCTCCTTCAACCATTGCTGACCGGTTTCATATGTGAAAACATTGTTGTGACAATATAATGGTTCGATCTTTTGGTACATAGATTAAGATGTTAACATCAAAGCCGTTATGGGCCACAACTATGCTTTTATTTGAAAAAAAAAGCTGCTTCTAAATCAAGTTAACATTAATCACTTAACTATATTTTAAGAAAAAATAAATATTTCAAAAGATTGGTTCGCCTGTTATCACTTTGTTTTAACATTTTAAAGATTGTTAAATGATTAATACAGTCCTGACATTTCAGTTCCAAAACGTTAAAATGATCAAGAAAGAAAATTGATTTATCAAACAAATTACCTGGATCGCGTATGCTCGGAATAGCATGAATTAGAGGTTCAAATATAGGGTTATCTCGGTGTGAAATCTTAAACAAAACCCCCAGCACAGCCAAACCATCAGGAGCCTTTGCTGCGTCTTTTATACTTTCATACTTTTCATGATTCCAGCTTACAATATGCATCTAGATGCAGAAAGATCAAAAAAATGTTACCATCGTTACTGGATTTTAATTGAAATTAACTGAATTCAATAACCTAGTGATAAAAGTTCACAATGAAAGTGAGAAGTATCGTTTTTGCTTTATTTTAAGACTTCTACTGGTTGGTAGGAAACCACGTACATTTTAATTTATACATATGAGCCGCGCCAAGACAAAACCAACATAATGGGTTTGCGACCAGCATGGATCCAGACCAGCCTGCGCATCCGCGCAGTCTGTTCAGGATCCATGCTGTTCGCTTAAAACAGTTTTACAAGTAGAGAAACTGATAGCGAACAGCATGGATCCTGATCAGACTGCGCGGATGCGCAGGCTGGTCTGAATCCATGCTGGTCGCAAACCCACTATGTTGGTTTTGTCATGACGCGGCTGATATATATATATATATAGCAAATAAGAATAAAACTCCAGTACAAAATACTCTTTAAAGAAGATAAAATAAAATAAATTGCTTCCAAATTGCAAATAACGTATGCAAGGGGTATATAAGTTGTAAAGTAAGTACAATAGACAATAAAAATAGTTTAATCTTTATAACAATATATGTTTTAGAAATTGTCAAAAAAAGTTTGTCAAAAATTTCACCTCCATAGGGGCGGCTTTTTCATTGACTGTATGTTCAGCACCCTGGTCGTTTTCATCACCCCAGTGAAAATGAAACTGGGCAATCTTGTACGTGTGATTGAGCCCGCCATTGGCAAGTAGATGTAGACCCCATGTATTGACTTGAACTGGTTTAAAGGCAAAAATGATAACAGTTATTAACAGTTATTAATTGTGAATTATTTTTCATTGGCTTTAAAATAGATTTTAAATTTTAAAATTTAAATAGTGATATTATTTATCATTGGCGAATGTCAAACATAAATATTTTTACAGAAAAAAACAACATTTTCTATATAAAAAAAAACTGATTCAATTAAAGATGCTTATACAAACTATTGACGATGTTAAATGCTTATAATTCTAGGAAAAATAATATATTGCCTTAATGCTAGAAAAAATAGTGTATTGCAGGCAATTTTTAGTTCAGCATGGTTGACAATAAAATTCAAATTGCATCATTACCACATGAGCATTAAATATAAAGGCTTTCACTCTTACTTGTGTGTCCGTTGTTGTGGGCAAAATATCTTGCTCCCCAATATGGCGGATCGTAGAAGATGAATTTACTTAAATTTGGTTTGAACTTTGTTTTCCGCGGACGTATATTGACTGGTGATTGGTATTTTCCCGCGCACTTGTTTGGAAATAGTTCCGGCCACTCTTCCGGTCCTTAATGGTAGAAATTTGACAAGGATATAAAAGTTCATTTTCTAAAAAAAATCTTGCAATACAACTCTACATATAAAAACAAGTAAATTTATCATTTATTTAAGTTTAACCAAACTGATCATTTATACCATTCTATCAAACAAAATGCTTTAACATGGATGTTTAATAATTTATATTGCTATATCATGAACATATGATTTTAATATAAGGCCTTTAAGGAATCGATGAAATGCAACTATTATAAAATCTAGATGTCCTTACCGTTATAATCTCCATATCCCCAATGCGTTACAGCTGTAAAATGAACTTTTATATAAGTTTACTAATATCAAATATTTCATTTTTTCTTATTTTGGTAGAAGTAGAATAATTCAGTTTGATATGGGAAAATGTTTTGGGTAAAATATAAATCTGCCTGAAGTACAAAAATGACTGCTCCACTGAACTATTAAAGTTGTTATTTACAGAACTTTTCTTGGGCCATGAGAGCTGTTTACCATTTATGCGAAGTATATTATAAAATTGAAAGGAAATATAGCAAAAAGTAAACTTATTTTGACTATCCCATGTTCACTTAATATATATCCATGAGTAGACATATGTCACTTTAAACAATATGACAAAATAAACATATCAATTTTACAAACTGTTTTAGAATCATTATTTTATCAAAAAATATTATTAAATGACAAAATTAATCTGTGTTCATTTGCTAAAGAAATTGTTTATTGGTAAGATAGATTCTATATCAATAGGGCAAATGCAGCATATAACAATGTATAACACTCACCAGGAATGACTGCCCCTTCATAAACTGTAATATAAATATGAGAGAAAATAACATGTTTGTTCACATTTTAATGTTTTAAATAATATAATTTCAAGTATATCTTAAAAGATATATATAACATATTACAATCATGATCCATGAGTAGACAACATTAACAGCACAGTAAAGCAATCATTTTACTGTACAATACGGAATATATTTGGACTCGTATACAGCTTGAAAAGTCATATTGGACTCGTCTATCGGCTCAGTTAATATGAATACTACTTGAATACTGTATAATCACCCTTAGGATATGCTCCCTGCTTTTTAAATTTGTCTTTTGACGTCTTGTCTGTGATATGCAGGCTTCATAACCTCAGATCCCCTTTCAAAATTCCATTTTGTTTAGTTCCGCCCATTGTTTTCTCGTTTAGGGCACAAGCATTCTTTTACTTGGGGACCATACGCCGTTTTTCATTGAATGACACTACTGTGTCACATTGAAGGTTCCATGATGACCGCATGAACACATCTGCGAATGTTTCTAAATTCAAAATTTCACCATTTCTGTGTTTAAATGTTGAATTCTGCTTAAGCCGGTGCTAGGGGGCGTGGACGGTTACTTGCACTTTCCAGTACCGTCCATGAACAGGCTCAATCAAACCGAGCCTGCAACATTTTACAATTTTGCCGTGTTGGGCTTTCTTTAGGTATTCTGTTTATCACTTTTTCAAGCTGTGTTCTCTTCCAAATATATTTCCGCTGTGTACAGTAAAATATATAATAACATATAAATATTGTATCAGTAATTTTTTACACTATATTGTATAAATATTCCACAATGATTATGTAAAATATTTATTGACAGCTTTTAAAAGACCAAAAAATATAAAAAAATATAACATTTGCATACCGTCGTACATGTATGATTGCCCATTTATACATGTTATAAAAACATAGAGAGTTAAAAAGATAATTTTAACATCCATTGAATTAAAACTTTACATCGAATCAATGCATAAAGAATTGTATTTGTAATCCTCGTCTGCTAGTTAACTTCAAAATGCTATTTTAATTCACTCTTTATTTATCATTATTTTTGAAAATCAAAACATGAAAACAAATTATTGTTTAGAAATAAACGCAGCGTAAGAGATTTATATAGTTCCTTCCTTTTTATAACTACATGATACAATAAAGATTAAAGCCAAAAACATACTTGTATGTTATCGTTTTCTTGTTGTTGTTTTTTCAGCTACAGCAATTGCTATAAATACAATTGTGGGAAATTTTTAAAGACAATTTTTATGAATGATACAATTTTCCATTGTTGTGTAAAATTCAGGTACGTTAAAAATATAACATATGAAGAAGATATGTTAAAGAAACTGTAGCATATTTATAAATAAATTCTCTAACACACTCAAATGTAACAGTCAAGACATTGACATCACGTATTTTGATGCATTAATACATATTCTCGTACATTCAAATCTTAGCAGCCAGGCTTGAATCATTTGGACAGTTACATAAATAGACATCGTGTTTGTCAAGATTTATATCGAGATAAATAAAACAGGTCGTAAATCTAAAAACGAAAATATGTGAACCGTACAATTTGGCATGTTCTTGTACAGATTTCCGGAAATTATGAGGGAAATTACAAAAAACTAAACCACAACTGATGAAAGTATAATTATCGAGACGTTTTCACTTATTTTTTTTTACTATGTATCATTATAATAATAAATATTACAATATTTTAATAAACAGACAGGCAAAGTGATTTTAATTTTTTTGGTGCTTAAGTACTAGTAAGTCTGTAAAAAAGATTCAAGGTGACATCACACCGTATTACCGGCGGCAGTGATGGCAGATATCTGAAAATTACCGATCGGTACAGGTAGGTTATACATTTGGTTGGTTTCATTATATTAAACAAATACGGCCCATATTATTGCTATAAAACTATTGTCCATTGAATGGAGATACTGTTAGGTAATTTTTGACTCGTTTTTTCCTGTTTTAAGACTATTTTGAGCAGGTTAAAAGTGACAGCCTCGGAAAAATCCGTGAAATTGTCTGTTTTCTGTTCAAAAGATCTCAAGTTTAAAGTAAATGGCAGGATTTCCTGTTATCAATATAGATGTTCATCCATTGGGGTCACGCAAGCCAAATATCTACCCCGTGAGTCTTTTCTTGAAAGTTTTACAGACGCTCAATCTTGTCCGGTCGAAGAAAAATTGCTGCCGTTGTAGACAGATACATATTATAAATGCTGCCGTCGATGGCAGAAATACCATGAAAGTGGCTAACATTCTGACAGAAAATCAGGTTCAATCTTTAATCAATTCCTCTTTTCTTTGCGTCCTTTTAGTCGGAATTGAGACGTTAAACTATCATTTCTAATATTTTCTCAAGATAGAAAAGTTATAAATGCGGTATGTGCATCGAAAAAAGCTTTTTAGCAACATGCAGTTACAATACAAAAAGTGATGATTTAGAACGACAAAATTGCACTATAGATAGAGAAATGAACATTTAAAACTTCATTTTTCTATATTCATGCATGTGTGCTTGATCTGTTGTGTATGTCAGTTACATGCATACAATACTATATGTATCTTAAGTTTAGCAGCGCACTCCCTTTTTAAGACATAACGCCAATTGCATATTACAGCAAGTAACTTCTGTAAGTGGATATTCATTTGCTAGCATATGACATTATTTTCTCGAGGTAATAATGTTCATCGCTTTATGACAAATAAAGGCTGAAATTTACTAAATCGGCGCAGATTATAAGTTATTAAATTGATGTAATAAAGGGGAGACTATTAACCTCGCAACTGGCATCAGTGTATCATAAAACAATATATGTTAATGTAAATTGATGAGCACGTGATGTTAGAACTGTTGTTAATAGTTTAACATATAGTAAATGTAATTCAAAGGCAAACTACAACGCTATTACAAACATGAAAATTTAAAGAAATGAATCCACGTTGTCGTGTTTTTCAAGAACTTGATAATATTGAAAAATATTTGAACTGTCAATAATATTATCTTTCAAATTTACATTAACATATATTGTTTTATGATACACTGATGCCAGTTGCGAGGTTAATAGTCTCCCCTTTATTACATCAATTCAATATCTTATAATCTGCGCCGATTATGTTAATTTCAGCCTTTATTTGTAATGAAGCGATGAACATTATTACCTCGAGAAAATAATATCATATGCTAGCAAATGAATATTCACTTACAGAAGTTACTTGCTGTAATATGCAATTGGCGTTATGTCTTAAAAAGGGAGTGCGCTGCTAAACTTAAGATACATATAGTATTGTATGCATGTAACTGACATACACAACAGATCAAGCACACATGCATGAATATAGAAAAATGAAGTTTTTAATGTTCATTTCTCTATCTATAGTGCAATTTTGTCGTTCTAAATCATCACTTTTTGTATTGTAACTGCATGTTGCTAAAAAGCTTTTTTCGATGCACATACCGCATTTATAACTTTTCTATCTTGAGAAAATATTAGAAATGATAGTTTAACGTCTCAATTCCGACTAAAAGGACGCAAAGAAACGAGGAATTGATTAAAGATTGAACTTGATTTTCTGTCAGAATGTTAGCCACTTTCATGGTATTTCTGCCATCGACGGCAGCATTTATAATATGTATCTGCCTACAACGGCAGCATTTTTTCTTCGACCGGACAAGATTGAGCGTCTGTAAAACTTTCAAGAAAAGACTCACGGGGTAGATATTTGGCTTGCGTGACATCAATGGATGATTGTCTATATTGATAACAGGAAATCCTGCCATTTACTTAAAACTTGAGATATTTTGAACAGAAAACAGACAATTTCACGGATTTTTCCGTGGCTGTCACTTTTAACCTACTCAAAATAGTTTTAAAACAGGAAATAAAGAGTCCAAAATTACCTTACAGTATCTCCATTCAATGGACAATAGTTTTATAGCAATGATATGGGCTGTATTTGTGTAATATAATGAAACCAACCAAATTTATAACCTACCTGTACCGATCGGTAATTTTCAGATATCTGCCATCACTGCAGTGATCTGCCATCACTGCCGCCGGTAATACAGTGTGCATGAAATAAGGTTATTGTAAGTGACCAATTTTTATGGAACGCCGTGACTGTCTTATGCTATCAATATTTTTGCTATCTTCAGAAATGATGATATTATTTTGTCATTTAAGCATATTAACATGTGCAATTTACATCATATCTTGTCTACAGACAATGCTGACTTGTTCAAACAGCATGTTAACTTGTCAAATAATCATTATGACATGTGCAGACAATATGTAAACTTGTCACATGCACATGTCATAACGATAATTCGACAAGTTAACATGCTGTTTACACATGTCATCATGGAATTTTGACATGTTAGCATGGCATTTGCACAAGTTATCATAATACTTTGACAAGTTAACAGTACGTTTTGACATGTCAGCATGATGTAAGGTAACATGTCATTTGCACAAGTCATCACGATTCTTTGACAAGTTCACATGTTGTCTTCACAAGTCATCATGGTAATTTGACATGTTAACATGCTGTTTGCACAAGTCATCATGATACTTTGACAAGTTAACATAAGTAATGACTATTGTACATATTGCTAATGACTACGGAAGCTTGTATGTACCCCCGCTATGAAGACATGAAGTCGTCTCCCTCGACTTATAGAACACAACAAGTCGTCAAAATTACGACGACGAGTTTATATATACCATGTCATTTTTACAAAATATATGTCATCATGTCGAGATACGGCAACCCGACTTTCAAACATAAATATATTTGTCGACTAGAAGTAACATGGATGTCGAGATACATGTTACTTCTAGTCGACACATATATTTATGTAAGAAAGTCGGGATGCCGTATCTCGTTCATTTAATGAACTTTGATTTTGAATTTTTATTTTCTTCAAACTTGTAGGCTAAGACATAAAGGAAAATCAAACTCAATATCACATTGACTCTTAAATGTTTTAAAAAAAATTTTTTTGCTTTGATTTTTACAATGCATCAGCACTGTGAAGGTAATAATATGGTTACTGTCCAACATGACTGGTAGAGTCAACAACCTTGACCACTCTGTCACAGACACTCCTTCTGACAAGACAATCAAGAAGATTAAATGGAACTTGACCTTGAATTTAATTTTTGACATATTGTTTTTGCTTTCGCCATCTGTCCGTCCGTCGGTCAACCTACTGGTGGAATTTCAACCAAACTTTACAAGAGTGATCAATTCCATTTGTAGTTATGCACATCACTGACATGTTACGATTCGCTGCTCAAAATTGCCATCAGAGCTAAAAATAGAAAAATCTTGTCCGACCTTCACAGGTCAAACTACAGTTGGGATTTCAACCAAACTTTACAGGATTGATCAGTACCATCCCTAGTTGTGCACATTGCCTGCAAGTTCCATTTCACTGCACAAAATGGCCGCCACAGCTTAAAATAGAAAAATCTTGTTCACAAGTCAAACTACTAGTGGGATTTCAACCAAACTTAATAGGAGTGATCAGTACTATCCTTTGTTGTGCATATCGCCAGCAAGTTTAACTTTGCTGCACAAAATGGCTGTCAGAGCTATAAATATAAAAATCTTGTCTGGCTTTCACAGATAGAACTGCTGGTTAGATTTCAATGAAACTTCACAGGAGTGAACAGTTCCATCCCTAGTTGTGCACATTGCCGGCATGTTCCGCTTCACTGCACAAAATGGCCCCCAGGGTTAAAAATAGAAAAATCTTATCACATGTCAAATTGCGTGCTGGATTTCTGCCAAATTCAAAGGAGTGATCAGAACCATACACAGTTTTAGGAGACATATGTTTTTGTGACAAAAAACCTTCAAGTTCATATATTATACGGTCTTTAACTTTATTTGATAAAAAAAATCTTTGAATGTGCTAGAATTGTCATTACTTTGTCATTTTTTACAGATTTGATTCATGCTTGGACAAACAAACACAAAACCAACATGTTGATTTTTTCTGATATAACTTTGACCTTTAACTGACCATTACCTCCAAGGTTAAACAATTTAATTTGCTCACATTGTCATAACTGCTTTTTGTCTATGATTTGATTCATTCTTGGACAAAAGAACACTTATCATTCAACTATGACATTTACTTAAATGTGTTGACAGTCAAATTCAAATTTGAAATTTACTTTATTCATTTATATTATGTTTTCTAGGAGTACTTTTATAGGTACTATATATTCAAGTTTCAAGTTTATTGTAATGTAATTCTAGGCGAATGGCCCAAATACACAATATGATAACAGAAAGATACATATACATCTGATTGTGTCACAAGTTATGAAATACAAAATAGTAGCATATACCATAATTTTTAACATTGTACAACAAGGTAGAGAATATACATATTACCACAACCCTTAATGTAAAACACATAGTATCAAGTTCCGAAAATGACAAAAAATTATACAAAAACTAGTTCTATTAATGCATGAAAAAAATTTTTAAAAAAATCAGACTTTTGTTATGAAACATTATACAATAGACATTCATGTAATTGTCTAAAAAAATAAAAAAATATTTGAAACCAATCAATTTTTAATTTTTTATCAATATAAAATAAATAAATCGATGTAATAATGAGAAAATCTTAAATCATTTTTAAATATAATAAATGTTTAATAAAGGCTATGTGACAATGTCGTTACAATTAAGTTTCAGAACTTTTCAAGATAGTATTATTTGTAAATACTTTTTAAATGATATTTGAAATGAACATTTTTTTGATTATATGCATGTATATATATAACCGAAATTCCCTCACTAGTACCTCTGTTCTAGTAACATGCACTTCTTCGCCGCCATTGATGATTCAGTTCAATAATTTTATCTTTGGGATAAGTTTTTCATATTCATTCTTTATATTTTTTACTTAGACACAACTTAAAACAATAAGTCAATGGATTTATTAGTCTGTATGCTTCAATTTGGAAAACGTATGCATATTTTCTGTATGTCTTTTCAAAAGTTTATATTTGAAGTGTAACTTTTATTTGAAGATGAGAAGTTACTTCTTGTTTGACAACACCGGATCTTGCTCTGTTAGTTCAATATCAACAGAAGAACATAGAATCCGTCACTGTGTGTCAAGTAATTTATTTATTTATTTGGACTTTTATCACCAAAAACTCGTATATAACGTTAAAAAGTTAGGCAAATATAAGTTAAGTAGGCTTTAAAACTTAAAGAATAGATAAAGTGACCAATTCTTTATTTATGAAGACATTTGCAAATATGTTAAGTTTTTTTTTTAAGATGTCGACAAGTTAAGTAGGCTTTAAAACTTTAGAAATAGATAAAGTGACTAATTCTTTATTTATGAAGACATTTGCATATCTTGAACTACATTTTTCTATAAATGATATATGGTTTTATCATAGAATATATTATGTACCTGTGTTAAAGTATTTGAAAGCCAGCGAATAAGAACTGCAATATAAGAAAATACCTAACTTATCATTATGGTTTATGAGTGAAGGGCTTGGCTTGCTAAATGAATTGAATAATTGTAAATACATTCCGTTTGTCTGATGCAAGTTCCATTCTGTATCCTGATCGCAGCCGTTTTCTATCAATATAGGCCAGTTACATCTGCAAAACTTTGAAGTAATTTGTCAGGACAAAATCCTGTACATGTACACATATTGGAGGGAACTATCGGTAACTTGACATCAAGGATGGAGACTTCATCATATGATTGTACGCCCATATCTACCACTTCATATGGAACAACCACCGAAAGTAATTTATCTATAATCAACGTGTATTTAATATTATATACTGTATATGAAATACATCTTATAAAGAATAAGGAATTATCTTATATTTGTTCAACTGAGTAGGATGAATTTGATTTATGTAAATCTTAATTTGAAAGACTAGTTTGCACCGAATGATATATACGAATTCAAGTGATTTTCATATAAAATGATAAAATTTACATAATTTTTAGTACAGATGATGTGCACTTGACAAAATTATTTTACCATGTGTCCATGTGGCAGCCCATCATTATTATTGGTTTTGAAACTGTTACATTCAAGTTGCATTTATATTTGTTTGATAATGTATTCATATAATTTATTTTCCTAAAATAAAAATGTTGTAAATTCAATTATCTTTTCATTTGAAGTAAGAGTAAAATATGAAAAGCATCTATGAAATTTAGACGGTTCAATGAAATTTGTTTAGAAAAAAAATAATTTTGTTTGCAAGAGTTTGAATAAAATGTTATGTTACTCATAATTAATAACCTTTTAATGTTGAATTGTGTGATGTCTTTGAAGGTAATACAGTCTCAAAAAAAACTCTTCTGTATAGTAATTACACTCAGTATCAGTTGAGCGGTCCAAACGTATTCGAAATTCCAAAGGCATGTTTGACGGTAAGTATTGTTTTTTTATTACCAGAAATATCTAAGATTAAGAAAAAAGCAATAAAACAATAGAAAGAGATAAAAGAAATTTTCTTCTAAACAGTTGCATAGCAATTTCATTCGAGGACAAATCGAGTGTGTAATCTTGCTTGAGTTTCCTCATATTCTTATTTGACGGTGTGATAAAATTGTTGTAACGTGCAGCAAGTTTGCAACAATTTATGTACGAGATCGACATTTGGAAAGGAAAGGTTGACTCAATATATTGCTATTTGGACATAACAACGTTCAGTTTTATAATTATAAGACAGTCAATGCTTTCCATAGGTAAGCTGTTTTTTTATATTTTGGTTTTGTTATGTAACGGGTCTGATGCCTTTATGCCTTTTCAGCTATGTTTTTTTTTCAAATGTAAGGTTTTATTGTTGATCCTTTCTTTATTTAAAGTTTCACATTGTTTAATGGGATATAATAAATTAATGTTCTTGAAAGGCATTGCTATAAAATATTACGAGCATGTCAGCACTGTCTATTAAATGCCTGGCACAATTATTTGTCTAATCTTTCCTGTGAATTGACATAATCGTACCCGTCCTGTCAAAGTAAAAATCGCGAACTATTATGAAAATAATTGAATAAACGTATGTTACGTTTCCCCTTAAATTCAATTTTCACAACTGCGCAGGTCTGAAAAGTCATCGTAAAGGTAGTATTTTATTCGGCTCTTCAAAGTATACAGTGCACAGCTGACCATTCCTTCGCAGAGACATTCCATTGTATGCGTGCGTGAAACCTCGCTTGCGTCTGTTTTGATGGTTTTATTTATAAATAGATTAATTCATTGCTGATTAAAACAATTTAGCGCATATGATATAGCAGCCTTGTGTTCAAGTCTTTGATTTCATATACATGTATTTATGAATAGCGTTGATCACATCATTGCCGAGGTGTCGATCATTTGCATGGTGACTTAGCGACCAGGCGGCCTAGCGGGAGTTCAAAAGTTTAGGATGCTTGATCCGATAGGCCGCCAACTTCACAGACACAGATCTACTATTTAGATGTGTTTTTTTTTCTTTTTTTTGCAAGAATTTCAGAATGGTTTAGCAAATTAAAGCATTTGGTTATTTGATACATAAGTTTTTACACCACGCAGTGAAGTATTGTAAGCTATTAGACCTACTATTTTAAGAAGTTAACATTACCATTTTGGAAAAGGAAAGAACAACAAAATGCAGAAGATACATTGAAACCTCTCTTTATTAAAAAAAAAAACAACAACAATATATAAACAAATACATTGTATTACAACATCGCACATGCAACTACAAAAAAGTCAATATTATGAACAGAAATTGACTGTGAATATAGATATGCACAAAGTAATTATTCTAATCAATGTCTTTAACATAAACGAGACAAGTAAATGAATAATTATTGGCAGTTTCGTAAAATTGAAAATAAACCAAAATATATACATAAGTTTACAAATGCACATTATTATTATTTTACAAGAAATTTTATATTTACAAATGGATTAATACGTATATGTTATAAAAGTATATAGCAATTACCCTTATTACATGCATAAAAGAATTAATGCCCTTCACAACCAAATCAATATTAGAACAATTCAGTAAGCATTGCTGCCACTGTAACACTAAGTTCACTGTAACACTAAGTTCATTAAGTTCATTGTAACACTAAGTTCACTGTAACACTAAGTTCGATAAAACTACGACACAGCACACTTTTTAGAATCTTTCAAAATCTCTTTTCACACAAGACCAGCGTCCTTTGCCATACTGTAAAATGCAGAATTCTTGTTATCCAGTAACATTTTAGGACTGTCGAATTCTTTTACCACTCCCTGGTCTAATACAAGAATTCTGAAAAGAAAAATAACAACGATATTGACGAAAATTAACTTAATAATCTAAAAACTAAAAAAAATATGCAGGGGGTTTTGATTTTTAGTCTGATTCAAAAATGTGAATTGGTACCGTAGTGGAATCAGGGAAAATTACATGTACATCATATACTCTAAGGATATCAAACTTGGAAATGCATTTCGATGATGAATTAAACTACTTTAATTTTATAAAATAAATTTTACACGTTTCATACCTGTCATATTCTATGATAGTGTTAAGTCGGTGGGCAATTGTCAAAACTGTACAATCTTTAAACTCTAGCTTGATTGTGTTCTGTATCAACTCGTCTGTCTTCATGTCCACTGCGGCAGTTGCCTCATCAAGAACTAAAATGCTGCTCTTCCGTAACAAACTTCGGGCTAAACATATCAACTGCCGCTGTCCCATACTGTAAATGCAAGCAACACAATGATATTTGTTTTTCAGCAAGCATTGATTCTGTCTTGATGCATTATGATTTTGTATTTTAATAAACACTTATTATTGAGCAAAACAATTAACTTAATTTGAAATAGTCATTCACTTTTGCAGTTCTTGGATAAATTTTCAGAAGCAATGTTGAAAGTACTTTATGCGTTTAATACAGACATAAGGATATGAACCCGTATATTCTGAGCATGGTATATATGCATTTGTCTTTCACTTTAAAGATCAGAACTTGAATAAATAGTAGGAGTTTCAAACGTAATAATTCAAACAACATTATAAAGTACCTAAGATTTTGTCCTCCTTCGCCACAGTCATAATTGAGTTTGTCTGGAAGAGAATCAATGAATGTTTTAAGATGAGCATGTTCAAGTGCTGTAAAGAGTTCCTCATCAGTATACTTGTCAAGTGGATCCAGATTGCTTCTCAATGTACCAGAGAATAAGACAGGTTCCTGGAATAGCAATGAAAGATTACCTTATGAATCATTTGAAGTGGCTAAGTTTCAACAAAATATTGCAATTTCAGTATGTGTTAACTATTAAGATATATTGTAAATAACAGCATTTGAAACCTCTCACATCTAATTTATTTAGATTTCATAGATTGCATAGATTGCTTTTATACGATCGGATGGAACTAACAAAAATTTTAACAAAATGTATAAGTTTTTGTTAATTAAAATGTAAGCGTTCGCTTTGTGTAAGTTAATAACATCTAAAAGAAAGGAATGAATTAAATACCTGTGGTAAAATAGTTAAGTTGGATCGAAGGTCAAACAATCCAAGTTCACTGATGTCACAATTATCAATGTGAATACTTCCAGTTGCCGGCTCTACCAAACGGAACAGTCCTAATGTCAGGGAACTTTTTCCTGCTCCTGTACGACCTACTATTCCGATCTTAAAAATAAGGAAAAAAAGACATCAACTGACAGTTAAAGTTCCAATAGTTTAGAATCCGAACCAGTTTACACGTATAATGACAGTGACTTAAAGATTACGACGGTGTTATTTTCGTCTAGAAAAGTAGCAGGACCATCAAGTTCCATTACATACTAGCATAGAGGTTAGTGATAACATGATCTTATATTCTAACACTGACTTTACTTAATTATTACAGTAACTGTTATAAATATTTAACCATTATAATAAGAACAATTCCAGGCTGATCAAATAGATTTTTTAAGAACAATCATTTTAAATGCAATATGTAAAGAGTTATATGCTTAAGCGATATGAACTATTCATATCCTTACCTTTTCTCCAGGGTTGATTTTGACGTTAATATCTTTCAGTACAAGATCGAGTCCATCCCTGTATCTAATGGAGTAGTTATTGATATCAACTTTGCCACTCTCTGGCCATGACTTTTCTGGTACCGTCTGTGTATGTTCTGGTGCCTAAATGTGACAGAAGATTTTTGTATTATTTATTGTGCATTTATGGTATATTATATCATTTAATTTCTGATTAAAAAACTATATGTACTATAAGTAAACATTGTCTGGCAATGATTATTCTTGTATAATCTTATCTATATTTTCCTAGTAAACATTTGTTTATGACAGAACGCTGGTTATACCTCTTGTTTGTATGTTGAATACTGTCCGACGCGTTCAATACTGACAACATCCTTCTCTAGTTCACCAGATATCCGTACAATACTCTCCAATGATTGGTTTAGCTGAAATTAAAGGAACACATTTCATCATAACAAATACATTCTAGGTTGTAGCAGGTTTGAAAAAAAATGAATACTGATGTATATTTTCAAACATAATACATTTATACTTAGTTCAACAAGAATGATGTTAAACAATTGAATGATTTTATGTTAAGGACAATCTTATAACTACTTCCCTGTTAAAAGAATACACGTTTATGAACACAATTTGTATCTTTGTAAACATATTTATTACTAGTCAATGGGTTTAATGGCGCGACAGAAAAACGTACAATAATTCTTTTGACAATTACCTGAAACACATAAGAGATTGCCATTCCAATCACAGCACCACTAATATATTCTCTCTCTTGGATAGCGAAGTATGTCGTTATAGCAAAACAAAACGTGTTCAGTAGAGTCAGACGTATGTTCAACCATCTAAAACAAAACATGCAGATATTGCATTACTAGCATATAACATATGAACTCTTCTATATCATAATGATATAATGGTATGCATGCATGAAAGCTTTATGAAATAATAAAAAAAAACTATGATACTTTTATCGTTTTTTTAGACCATTATACTATTTACTGCTGAATTCGCAGATTGGTTTGATTTTTTTTGTAATGTCTTACCTATTTACTGTTTCATTGTGATAATGGGATTCATTTGTAATTGTAACAAGATTTGTTGATTGAACAGCAAACTCCTTTTGCTCTCCAAATGCTCGAATTACTTGAACTCCGTTTAGACTTTCAGTGAAATGACTTGCTACTGGTGTTCCTTTCTTTGACTCGATTCGGCTCAGCTGACGTCGTACTGGTACAAATCGTTTCTAAAATTACAAACATTTATACACATTAGATAACATAAGTGAGGAGGATAACATCCGAAAACATTCTGTTATATGTGCCAAAGTCTTTTGGAGTGCGAAACATCCAAACTTTGTGCAGATCCATTGTGTGAAACTTTCTCGTTGTCAATGAAAACCGAACTTGTATGACAAACTCTAGGAAATTGTATACCTTTATGTCAGCATTCTTACAACATAATAGGTATGTTGATACTGGAGACTCACAGTATACGTGTTCCTTAAAGTATTATATAAATGTAACTTTTGTGTATATTTCAATGCGCAAAACTTAAAGTTAAAAATACCTGGATTTCATTGTACACAATAACAAGAGGTATCGCCACTAAGATGAACTTTGGTAATGACATCATAACAACAATAAACACGCTGATGAGTCCGAAAAATCCTTGTAACAAATCAGATGTATGCCGAGTAATAACCCCATCTAATGGTTCAATGTCACCAGAAAACCTATACAATGTACAAGGGATGAAAGTAGATATTATAATATATAGTTATTTCTCAAGATATCAAAGAAAGTATGCTCAAATAGAAAATGTAAATGATTTATGGATAAACAGATACAAGTCAGCATTCCTGTAAGAACTAGTAAAGTTCCAAACTTCAAATGATTTCCAGGAATCGAATGAAAATTGACAAGAACTTTTTTCTTTATCGAACAAAACAATTTAATTTGTATATATAATTTTGGAAACATTGAATTTCATTTCAAAGAGACTCAAAAGTTACATTCCTACCTGTGTACTATCCGCCCAACTGGTGTCGTGTCAAAGAAGGCCATTGGTCCACGGAGGATATTCTTTAACATCCCTTCATGTAGTACTTTAGCAGCATGCAACACACCCAGAGCCATTAAAATTTCATGAGCAAGATTAGCGATACCTATAAAGATAAAAAATAATGTAATTTGACATAACATGATAATGTTGGTTGCGTAAGTATTTTGCGACAATAAAGTGTTACAACCAAAGACGAATGGCATAGCGTACATAACCTATCTTCATATATCGATTAATTGTGTGACCCGAAAATCATTAAATAAAATTACAATTGAAATTTAACATCTTATTTCATAATCACTGCAAAAGATATCACTTACAATGTATAAGTCCAAAGAGTGCAAACATTTGTATATAGTATTGGTTTTCTTGGTATCGTTCGTCACTTTCACCTGGTAGTAAAGTCAGATTGTTCAAAGATTTATCTTCTGTCCAGTCCTTTATCAACATGCTTCGTACAATTTCGCATGCTTTGAATGCCGCAAAACAAAGCAAAATCATCACGCACTGTGGCAACCCAATCGCTTTGAAATATGGTGCCAAGTATTTAAATTGAACCTGTAAAGAATCAGAAAATGTGTCATTTATGTGCATGGTAGTTTATCTCACACATTATTAAATTCATTAAATTTGTATCAATAGTGTATCAAAAGTTATCTAAATCATTTGTTTTATATATACTTATTAATTAAATACAATTTACTTATCTTTAAATGGTTACATGTCATCAGGTAATGATCAACTAAATTACTATACCTTGCCCGTCTCTAATTCTTCCTCGTCTATAAGTTTCCCTGTTGACATTTTGTCTGATTCTCTTTTAATTCTCTCTTCGTTGAGCTTTGCTTTATCATCGAATGTTTCCATTTCAATATATTTATTAACCGTATTATCTTTATGCTTCTCAGTTATGTCTTTGTATGTAATGTGTTTGTCTTCTATTGATATAGCCCTTGAGATAGATCTTCTGATAAGTTCCCGTCCTTTGTTTCCTGTGTTTCTAGAAATGATTAACGACAAATATATGAACGGTACAAAATAAGGAAGATTGCCGAAAAGTAATAAGATAATGTAAACAATATATACATTACAATTTACATAAAAACACTTTAAAGTCGATTATTCAAAAAATTCTTTTCCGTTTTTATCGAAATGCTTCATCTAATATAATTGGAAGAGCGTTTACTTTTAGCCAACAGATTGATTATTAACTGTATTCACCTTCGTTTAGATATAGATGTTGAGTCCGATTCTGTACTGTAACCACTGTCAGATTCAAAGAACAAGTTGTTCACTGCAAAAATAGAAAACAAAATCATGATAAAGGTAACTTTGAAAAAACAAAACAAGCAACTATGACAGGCAAATCTATGATGAGTTGTAAGTCTTTCTCCGCCAGTACAGCTGGAAAGTCCCAACATGGCCTTTAAAGTGCAAGTGTACATTACAACCAAACACAGACAAACAAAACATGCAAAAAAGTGTCACACAGCAGTTTTCTAGCTTCATAAGTAAAGAAGAAGAAAAATGGCGACCTCATTTATCACTTTAGATACAATCAAACACGACGTAGAACTTTCCGTTAATGACTCAACGTTTTGTTTTCACAGAAGAATGTCAATGTCCAATCCATAGCTGCCAATGCTTGGACGTTCATAGTAGTGTTGCTGTCACAGTTATTTTCTCTTTTCACTGTTTTATTTCTTTCATAATAAATGAACAACGTCGTTTGTTTTCAACTAACTTCGTCTATAAATATTTAAAGATAATATTTCTATTAATTCTGAAGCACGGCACGGCTCTTTTTTTTAATGAAATACGATCGTGTCTTTTCAATCTCTTCTTTTCTTGTAGCACAACGTGTATTTGTCTCACTTAATATGGCAACGTTTTAAAATTTCTTAATGATCACTATTAAAGAACTTACTCAGAGGTTCACAATATGTTTGTGTCTTTATCAGATCATATATGTAGTCATCTGTAGTTTCCGCAACAGTTTCATAGTCTTCATGATTCATTTCTAAAACACAAATGATCTCCGATTTAAATTCATCATTGAACTGTCGTCCATGTAAAAACTATCGAGAGCTAACAGTTCTATGTCAAACTATCTTGTAGACGCACTTCCACAACGCTGTCTCAATAATATACGCTATATATATATTTATCTATCATGCACTTATCTGAGAGACAAATGTTTTATAGACACACTGATAAGCCATAAAGTCTAAACATGTTTGTGATTTTAATACAAATCTGGTAGAAGGTTGATCCCTCGGAAGCGCAAATCACAACAAAATGACTTGGGTCAATTGAGTCTGTACATCAGGTACAATGAATAAGTGCAGCATCATTTACGCCCCATATCACCGGCTCGAGCGCTAGCTCTACTCAATTTTCAACACTTAAAGTGCTGGAATAAATGATCCCAAAGGACCAGAATGCACGTAAAGTCAATTTCTCTTAATTTATATAGTAGGAATAAGAAAAATGATAGTTCCATCCTCTCGTAAATACGCATTTTTCAAGAAAAAAGCTTTTATAATATTTAGAATAAAATTGATATTGTATCGTATTTACCTTCAACAGTGTTTTCTTCATCGTCTGAAATATGGCCATCGGTTTGATATTTTTGCACGAATGTTGCAAATGCTCCCTCTTTATCCATCAACTCCTGGTATGCACCAGCCTCTGAGATCATTCCATCCTCTACAACAAATATCTTGTCGACTCGAGGCAACCATGTGATACCATGCGTCACCAATACTCTTGTCTGGGAAGAAAAACAACAGATAGTAAATTATTTTACATGTAAATATTACATATGGTCAATGTACTTGTCCAAGCATTAAAGATATTCCGTGTATAACTCGAATTCTTTGTTGCTATTCTTATATAAAAATGAAACGAAATAATAAGTAGATAAGAAAAATCAGTATACCTTATTTCTCAAAAGCCCATTTTCTCCAATTACATTATCAAATATGTGTCTCCCAACGTGTGAGTCTACAGCAGACAGAGGGTCATCAAGGAGATATATGTCGGAGTTGAAATACACTGCCCTCGCCATACTAACCCGTTGTTTTTGTCCACCACTTAGGTTGATACCCTAAAATTTATTAGAAGAAAACACCTATCAGTTAAAATAAACACAAATCAAAATTTCTTATAAAATAACAACAACAACAACAACAACAACAAAAACACACACACAAAAAAGAAAGAAAAAAACACACACAAAAACAACACACAAACAAAATTAAGATATATAATTATCATTGTATATCTTTTGTATGCATATCAAGTACATGTATATTAACCGATATTTGTTTGATGAAAAATAAAGCACACAACAGAATAAAGCCTGTTCAGACTGCACGGACTTACAGGATGGTCTTGGTTGCAAAGGCTTATCACTTTCGGTTACAGCAGATAAACGTTAAGATTATTATGTACACAGTGTTAAAGCAAAAAAAAGAAGGTAACCTTTTCTCCTATCTCCGTTTTGTCTCTCCCTGGCAAGATTTCCAAATCTTTCGTCAAGGAACATGCTTCAATAACATTATTGTACGTATGTTTTCTGTATTTGTTACCAAACAAAATATTGTCTTCTAGAGTTTTGTTTTGTATCCACGCTTGCTGTGGAACATACGCAATGCTTCCCTGAAAAGACATGATTATCAGATACATATACTCTAACAACAAACATGATGTCTTATCAGTTTAGAAATGAAATGTTTTGAATGCCAATAACATGCACGTATTATGTTTTAAAAAAAAGTGAAACGATTTGTAAGTAAAGTGAAAGTACTTGAATTGTTCGGATAATTATGTTTTTGCAAAGACTTTACAAAAATTGTTTAAAGATATCTGAGCACCATCAAATATAGTTTACTAAGACCTGCATCCACTGACTTTCTACAAATGTTACATATTGCATCAGTATCAGTATTAGGAATTGAATTTTCTGCGTTCATTCTGTAAAACAATAATTTTACTGTTGCTTACATTCACATTAACATCCCCTGCGTCCTTGATCATCTCTCCAAGTATTGCTGACAATAATGATGATTTCCCAGATCCAACAGTTCCTACCACTGCCACAAGACTACCTTTTGGAACAGTCATATCAATGCTATAAAAGAAATGACATTTGACTTTATTATTTTATTTATATAATACATTCAAAACACATTTTACATGCAAAATTACATCATTTTTCTAAGGAAATGTACGTTTGATGCCTTAATAATTCCAATATATTTATGCTATAGAGTCCGATATCTATGTTTCACTTTTTCTTCTTTTTAAGTGCCAGTTTTTGTGTTTGTCCCTATTTTTAAGTTGAAAGTGACTTAAAAATAGGTTATAGAAAAGTACCATAGTCAGACGTAAGAAATATATTTAACCTAAATACATGTTTTTTACCAACAACATGACAAACATTATTACCTCTTTAAAGTTGGTCCTAGCTTTTCATCCCAGGTAAAAGTGCCGTCTTGAATACTAATAGCATCATCTGAAATATATATATTGTCTTTGAACTGGCTTGTACAATTCTGGTTAACCGGTCAAGTATTCAAGCGAAATTAACTCCCTTTTACATTAAGCCAAACATTAAAAATAAAAAAAATCGCGTATAATGTTATCTGATTACCAACTTATATAAATAGTGAAATGTAATTGCGATACTTACTGTACATTAATAGCATAAAAAGGACATACCAGATTTCTCACGAGTGACAATGTCCTCTGCAATTTCATCATTATTCAAGAACTTCTCAACTCTTCTTATTGACACAAAAGATCGGAGAAAATGGCAAATGATATGAGGCAATGCATTAAATGTGTGCGTCAACATTTCAAATGTAGCCATGGCTCTGAACGCTGTTTCGGCAGTAAGCATGTGGTCAGAACTGATTGAAACATAAACGGTAAATGTCACCAGCGTCATCTGAAATATTACGGATTTTGTGAGCCAATATAGTATAAAAGTCATAAAAACTTATTAGATTTCCTTCAGGTAAACCTTTTTCAACACAGACAAAGTTTGTAATTTTAAACAATTTAATCATATCCGAAATAAATCAGCCAAGTAAATAATAAGGAAAGATATTGAAATAGTTGTGTACCATAATAGGAGCAAGTCCCCAACAAAGTGCACCAATAAGACCGAATACTCTCTGCTTCCTGATGATTGCCAATTCTTCATTACGAATATCTAATATTTTCTTTCCAAACGCCATTTCCCATGCATACAATTTAAGGATCTGAAAGTAAGCAGCAAAGAATTAAAATAAACAACCTCTCTTCTTTGTGATCAATGTTGGAAAAGAATAACAATTTAACCGTAATGAAAATATAGTGCCAGTTGCTGCATAAAAATATATCGAATGCATATTTAAAAATAAATTCAAACATAAAAAATAATTTTAATAAGATGTGACAATTTTATCAAAGGAAGCTGTAATGTATACTTTCTTACTTTGATTCCATTCAATATTTCGGTCATCAGTTTCATACGGTTGTCTTTCTTTTTGATACGATCAAGGTGTGAGCTATGACCATTTCTTGCCATGAAGATATTCAAGGGCATGACGATGGCTAAAACACAGACACCGGCAACTGCAGCATAGTCCACAGTGTAGTACAGAATCGAAAAGCTTGCAACAAGTTCGAACGGCACGCACCAGATCCAGAAGAAAAATCCGACAAAGTGTTGAATTTGACCAGCATCGTTTGTTATAATGTTAACAATTTCTCCAATGGTAGATTCCGAACGCGCTTTATTCGTCATTCGCATTGACTGAAAAAAAAACAACAACAAATTATCAGAAACCATTGTTGTTTAACAAATTTTTGTTATACAGCAACGCGTGTGATATGTGTATTGAAAATGAGAAAAACAAACTAAACGAGTAAATCATTGTAATTACCATAAATAAGCCAAAAAAATATTTGTAAATTTTTTGTACAGAAGTTGTATTAATCAAGCAATTTAGTATTTCTGGCTTTGATTTTATTACCTTCTTAAAGATGGCGTTCTTTAGACATAGTCGAAGCCTTAAACATGTGGACAGACTGAGGTGGTGAACGTAATTGTTCATGCATTCATCCCCAAATATACAGATAATTCCGGCAAGAAGATACACGTATCCTTTCCATCCGGGTTGACTCATGTCACCAGCAAATGCCACCAATAATCTGTAATGCAATCATGCGAACGCCACACATTATACAACTTTCTCATTGGCTAAGAAGGAACAACGTAAGAAGGAACAACAGAACACAGACTAAATCACATAAAGAAAGCTCAATAATTTTCGTTTATTATTATGTTATATCACGCAAGCATTCTGTAAAGCTCTAAATGTTTTGAAAACTAATTCTGGCTTTTGTCTGTAACTTTACTTTACTAAACAAAATGGCATTTAATTTCACGTAACTAACAGTTGTTACAAGTGACTAGTATTTTCAAAGAGAAAAAACGTAAATGTACCCTGTGATGAAAGGTCTGGCAATGATGAAAACTTGTGTTGCCAACTTCAGAAGATTTGATGCGAGCAATATTTCTAGGTTCGCTTTCACAATGACACGTACTAAACTTATCTTACCAGGTTTGTTACTTGTTCTGAAATAACGATAACATATCAGTTGTCAGTCAAATAAATGAACCTTTAAGATTTAAGTTTTTTTTTATAAATTTGAATTGATAATTTGCACATACTTATACTATATTACTATATCATTATTAAAGAAAAAAAATGGAAACGCTTAGGATGTGTTGTCATAACGAAAGATGTAAGATTCAATTGACATTTTTATTGTGACATTTTTTTTTCAGTTTGACGACAGTTAATTTTCTAGGGAAGGAGAAAAACATAAACGTATAATATTCACATTTTGTTAAAGTAACATTTTACGCAGATTTTTATACATTTACCCATGAATGAACTTATTAAAACTCACGTGTTTTTCTTCGCATTATTTTCTTCCGAAATCCAAGCTTTTTCAAAACTTGAAATAGCATCGTCTGCGTTTTCGCTTGGCATTAGTTTGCTCATATCGTTGTCAGTAATTGGACGTTGGTAACCAAGGCTCATAAATCTGAAACGTGATGTAAATGTAAATATCACCCGATATGTGTTGTTTATTTGATAGCAAAAACACTGACAGAAAAAGAAAAATCTTGTTTAGTGGCTTTTGTTTAGGTGATAAAATATACCTAGATAAAAGTTTCTTTGACCAGAAAAGGGACTTTGGAAAGTCTTTGCTTCTTATGACAATACTAAAATGTTCAACAATGTACCAAAGTAACATCACACGGTTTAAGATGAATATTGAATATTTGTTTCATGTACTTACCCATCAAACCATGTAAATAACAGTCGTGAGATGAAAGATGATCGTCCCAACTGACATTCTCTCTATGAAAGAAAAATAATAAAAATTATTTAAGTTACAATTATTATTTGTATTTTTTTGCTATATAAACTCAATGTAAAAGAGGTCACAAACAGTTGTTATTAGAATTCTAATCTGTGTTGCAACATTAATGCTTGACATATACTGTAGGCTATGTAATGAGACAAATGGCCAGAAATAATAATGCTAGACATGGTATAATGCTAACAGAGCTAGATTTAACAGATAGTTATTGCATGATTACTTCCCTTTTACTACAAGTTCAAATATAATACATACAATTATACATTATGTATAAAGTCAACCCAAAGATTTATTGCAAATCTTATATTTTATTAACCTCTGTTTCCGTGTCTTTATCAGCGTCGGCAAACCATGTTAGAATAAACTGGGCAACACTTAGAGCTAGACAAGATTTCATCATCACATTTTCCTCTGACGACGGATTGTAGTCCTACAATAGTTAAATAAAAACGCTTGTCAAATACAATGCAACATAGATATGTTATTTACGCTGATCGGTTCTCCTTTAAATGTTATTTGTACAAACATAGTTTTCTCTTTCAAATTATAATCTTGAATAAACGGATTTTAAATATTGAAAATCGGTCATATAATAAACGAAAGAAAGCAACTGTACCTGTTTCACCATTTTGGAATAAACCAGGAGCGCGCCGCAAACTGAAGATAGGAACCAGTAGATTGTTTGAATACCGGAAGTAACAAATCCCTTTCGTCTCTCACGGTCGATGTAGAATATAGCCAGTATCTAAAATTAAATTGTACACCATTTTGTTGTAATAAAAAGCAGATAATAATAATAATAATAATAATAATAAAAAAAATAATGATAAAAAATTTTATCATTTAAACAATGTTGTCGAATGTCAATTAGTCCTGTTGAAGCATATTTATTAAGTAATTCTTATATGAATACGACTTTTATATCTTACCAGTGTAAGACCCTCAATTACTAAACTTATGTGTCGTGTTTTCCATTCCATATCTTCTGTCTTAAATATCTGCAGAAATCTCACTGATAGCTGCACCACGGCTATGCTCTGCAAAAAAACAATTTTTAAAAAGTCTCGAATAAACATAATTTTTAAAAAGAAAATGCCAAAAAAAAAAAATTAGAAAAACCGTTTAAAAAATATTAGATGGGAATTTTTTAAATTTCCCTTAAAAACGGGATTTCAAAATAAATTTTAGTTTTTAAAAAAAGGGGTTTGAAATTTTAAACAACGTTAAAAATTTTCCAGAGGTTTTCTTTTAAAACTTCCCTTTGGGGGCGAATTCCCTTTTTGGCACGGCTTTTTCTTAGCCCTCTTTTTATTTTAAAAAGTTTTTAAATTTAATAAAAAAAAAAGGGTTTTTTATTCTTATTTGGGTTTTTTAAAAAAAAAAACGAAGGTCATTTATAAATTAAATCTATTATAGGTATTTAAGAATAATAATAAAATATCGCCACCCTTTGTTCGAGCAGTTTAAACACGGGTTAAAATCTAGTTGCTAAAAGAAGGGTAAAATACTATACAATTCAGCGAACTTCTACAAACATGATAAAATGGAATGGCAATATTTTTACAGTTGATTTATATCGTATAAAGAACGCATTCAATGTCAGTAATACAGTGACAATAGGACAGACCCATTTTTTTTTTTTTTTGGTTGATGCATTAAAACATATTCTTACCATTTTCATTGTGCACTTCCAGCTCCATTGTGCTTGGATATCTTTATATCGCAGTAAAGCATATAAGTAAATTGGTGCTGTTACACACAACCAGAAACCCGGCACTAGTAATAACACAGTGTCCTCGAAGCATTCTGTAAATTCTGGGTATTTACGGTCATTTCCCCACGTTAGGTTCGTGTCCTGAGTTGAGAGAAAAATTAGATCTAGTATTTTTTTTGTTTAAATGATTGAATAACTGATCTCACATGCGTTTACATATCTATTTAATTGTATGAATTATATTCAAGTTTATATTAACATTAAAGATACTTCACTTAACTGTTTTATTTACAAATCGATTCTCACAAAAATATTTATTAAACATATTAATAAGTAATTTACCCAAAATTTGCTTGAAACATATGATGCTCTCCATATTCCCCTTTTAAATTTAAAAATTCCGTCTTCTTTTTCACAACGATCAAACCTTTTTAAACTTATGAATGACAAAAGAAAAAATTTCCCCCTTTTTTTATAAAACAGGGTTTTTCATGACCTAATTTTTTGCGGTAAATTTCCCCCCGGGGGCTTTTTTTAGTTTTTTGTTAAAAACGATATTTTAAAAAAACCCAATAGCTGAAAAAAACCCCCTTTTTTTAAATTTTATTTTGTCATTTTAAATATTTAAAATTAAGATATAAACCCAATTGTTCTAACGTGGGGAAAAGCATATGTGACTCGTTTTCGATTTCAAAAAAACTAAAAAGCAAGAGTTTTCCCCAAACTAATTTCAGTAAGGGTTTTGTTCTAAAAAAAAATTACGAAAAACAAATGAAAAAATTTACAACCCTGCCCAAAAACTTTTTTTCTTATCAGTGTAGGTTTTGAGAACATAACGATAAGTAAATGATTTTAAAATATTTTGTGCCGTTTTAATCTAATTGTTTTAAATTGACTTTATATATATATTTTATATTACAAGAATAAAAAATGCGAAAAAGTAAGATACTCTCCTTTATCATAAGGTTTGAGAGCATCCTCTAATACGTTTCTTAATAAGAAGTTGTCAGTGACTTTAAAAAATGTGACGAGCCCCGGGGAACCCTTTTGGTGTTTGAAAATTAAAACGTATACTAAAAATAAACGTTAAAAAAACCCTACATTAGCAATAAGTGAAAAAATCATGGAGGATGTATTTAAAATACTTTTAAAAATCAAATTTTTAAATTGAACATGCCTATCATTTAAATGGGCTATTAAAAAGGGGGAAAAATTAGCTTCAAAAAATTTTTTATTTTTTCCCAAAAAAAAACCCTTTTTGGAAAATTAAATGTTTTTTTTTCCCGAAGAAATTACCCCATCTGTAAAAAGATTTTTGTTTTTTTTTTAAAAAAATTCTAAAAAAAACCCAACCAGTTTTTGTTTCTTCATTAAAGGTCAGTACTGCTCCAGAAATACTTTATTCCGATCCTCAAAAGCTTTTTTATGTTTAGTGTACTTTATAGTTTCCAAGAAGTTACTCATTTTCGAAGAATCGTAACAATCTTTTTTTCTTTAGGTAATTAGTAGTTTTAGTGATTTAAAGGTATTTTGTATGTAAGTCAAAATACTACTTTGGTTATATTTTGTTACTTTAATGACAAATGATTTTACATTCAACGCTACTTTCTTTAGGCAAAAAGCATCTGAATGACTCTGAAATGATCAAACTCAAACTTGCCGTTTCTAAAGAAGTAAAAAAGTCTTACCTGAAGCACAATGCGTCTTAAATTGCACCTGGCTTGCAAGGTATGATGGGTGGTGATGGGATGGGGTCTCTCTTGAAGCAGCTAATTTTCAATTCATTTTTTTTTGGAAAGAAGAAGAAAAACATTTTATTGACTTAAATTACATAGTTTCTCGTCATTTACATATAAACAAATATAGTGTACATAAATCATTATATAAATTATCAAGTTCGGAATAAAGCAAGAACTGTCAGCCACTGGGTACATGTACAAAATACGTTATATTCAGGACGCATATACGTTAAGCAAATTGTCTTTATATAGTAAAAACATAGTTTACCGCATAAATGTATACATGTACCATATATATTCCTCTATAAAATAGATAATTTAAGCTCATCAACCATGGCTGTGAGGTTAATAAGACAGATAAGAATAAATTGAGCCGTGTCATGACAAAACCAAAGTAATGCGTTTGTGATCAGCATTGATCCAGACCAGCCTGCGCATCCGCGCAGTCTGATCAGGATCCATGCTGTTCGGTTATCAACCCTATAACAAGCAGAGAAACTGAAAGCGAACAGCATGGATCCTGATCAGACTGCGCGAATGCGCAGGCTGGTCTGGATCCATGCTGGTCGCAAACCTATTATGTTGGTTTTGTCATGACGCGGCTCAATTGTCAACAACAATAATCACTTTTATTTTCCAGTCAGTTTACAAAAGTAACAACATGACATGTAATCAATATAAGTTTCAAACAGTATGTGGATTTAACTTAGAAATAAGTTTTTTTTTCAAGGGGACAGTAAAAAAGATTATGAAAAAGAAAATAGAAAAAAAACTTTATATATATAGTATCGCCAGACAATAACAAAAAAACTGATGTGGTTGTTTAAAAAAAATTTTACTGGGTAAAATTAACGTAGGATTTTTTTACTATAATCTATAAATATAATGCGTATTTCTATAGTAGATACGATGGCAGGATTTCCATGAAGTAATGCCGAGTAAAAAAATCAGAGAAAATATATTTTGTTTATCGATTACGTTTTTTTTGTGTATTATAACAGTCCATATTTTACATTCACTTAATAAGTTTGTCATATATTTGTAATTCTTATACCTTAATTTTGTAATTCTTATACCTTAATTATATCTATTTAATTAAAAAAAACGTCATAATTATTCTGCCTACACTAGGTATAGGGGAATTTTTCTGTTGTAGTACACAATTGTATTGATTCATACATGTATTTCAAAACTACAACTAGACAAGCAAGGTCATCGTGAATTCAATAAATAGAATTATTGATCAGGGGGTATTTGTAAAATCACCACAACAAAATGTACTTAACTATGCAGTTAAAGCTTTTTCTTATGCCCTGGTCAAAAGTGCATAAAATCATTGCTGACCTGTGTATGAACTAAAGGGATTGAGACATTTACGAATTCAGCTTGTTTAAACATATTTATCTAAGGTAGATTGCAAAACGAGTTTTCGCAACTTATATAAATTATTTTCGAGCCCTGGAACCAACCAGTACCGGTGTCATATAAAGAAACATGGTCCTGACCCGATCAGGGCCCGAATCCATGATCCCTAGGTTTACGCCTTAACCACTAGGCCACCGCTTAGATACATTGAGACGAAGTCACATTTTCTATTTCAATGTAATTCGATTTTAAATATATTTATTTTGAAAAAAAAAGAGATATATGAAAAGTTTCCGTATACATCAAAATTACTATTACGATCAATGTTTTACGATACTGTACATTGTTACGGTGTACTTTTACGATACATTGATGCGATAAACTGTTACGATACATTTTCGATACACCGTGACGATAAATGGGCCGTAATAAAATGTATGCATATACCAAATTTAAAGTCAATATATTTAAAAATATGTTCTGAGAAAAAACAACGTTAGAAACTTACAAATCAATAGGAACAAGCTTTTTCTTTCAATATTTCTACTTTATAAGACAGTAAATTTTTCAAAAATACATCAAATGTCAAAGAAAGATTATGAAATATAGCGCGATTGAGGGTTGAGGTTATCTTTCTTAACTAGTGCAACTTTTATGTATACAGTACAGGGTGATCCAAAATATCTGATAACATTTTAGTGTCTTGTATGTTTTACATCAATCACACATCATTTTATTTAAACACATATTTAAACTAGAGATTTTAAAAATTAATTTAACATTAAAGTCATTTTGTATAATGAAAGAAAAAAATAAAAATGAATCTCATTAAACAAGATTTGTAATTTTGTTGTGTCGGCTATCCTCGACTGACCCTGTCTGCTTAAATCTATTTCACTTGAAGCTTTGTGAGTCTGTCATCATCAGGATTTTTTTTCTGCATCATGCGAATAACAGTAACTAGAGACTTGGTCTCAAAATAGAGTTTAACTATTTCTGCAGCTTTCTGATTAACGTCGCCATCTTGAAGAAAATCTTTTATTTGATGACGTCATCTATGACGTAATGACGTCAACGTTTTCCGTACATAACTTCTGACATAAACTTATGAAATGGTATATAACACTTAATTATTGCACCAGAAATGACTTATTTGTTCAACTTCAAAACAGCATCAGATATTATAGATCACCCTGTTCATAATATGAAAAAGGCAAAGCCTCAAAGCGAGCTCGATGTACTTTTTACGTGACAAGTGCGTGTGACGTCACACGTACTGTGTTAAATATGGCTCCGCCCCTGTCGTGAAATGAATAACGAGTTTTGAAAACGTTGATAAAACTTTGTTTATTTTATTTCACTCTATATTTTTTCAAACGAAATAAAGATTATTTAAAGTGAAATAAATGTAAAACTTAAAACGTTTGCGACATTAAAATAGCGTACTTGATTTGTTTGTTTTGCACGTGCTGTTTGGCGCTACATTGTGACGTCACGTAAACAATACTTTAAACGTCTGTACAGCGTTAACGACTGAATAAAAGATATTGGTGTTCGGATTCATTTTCTTAGTTAGACCATTTTCTTTCATTCTAGATAGTTTTCACAACAAAATTCGACAAAAAATTGTTTTTATTTATCAGATTTCAAACAAAATGGCGCCTTCGATTTTCATTTTATCATTCGATATTTTATACACAGCTTCCGTTATTCTGGTTCCCTGTCCAATTATGGTTCCCATAGACGTGCGCGGGTGACCAGTCTAGACATCCGTTTTCAGTCAGAATTCCTCAGTTTTTATCGTTATCTTTAAATTCGAAAGGTTGCGATGTGTCCAATTCGGTACTTCTGACGAAAGTTTTCAAAATCATCACTTAGCAGGTACTCGCGTTACCGTAAAGCTCGCTTTGCGAGCAGGCCCTTCGGGCCAGCTCGTCGAGCTCGCTATAATAAGTACAAGAATACACCCAGTTGAACAAATAAAGTAATTCAAATTCAAGCCAGCACAAAGCTTTTAATTACACAAAAATGTTTCTAAAATGAAAAAAGCCTGTGAATAATATGAAAAAGGCAAAGCCTCAAAGCGAGCTCGATGTACTTTTTACGTGAAATAGTATGAAATAATCGCTCATTTTTATTTCAAATGCAGTGACAAGTGCGTGTGACGTCACACGTACTGTGTTAAATATGGCTCCGCCCCTGTCGTGAAATGAATAACGAGTTTTGAAAACGTTGATAAAACTTTGTTTATTTTATTTCACTTTATAATTTTTCAAGCGAAATAAAGATTATTTAAAGTAAAATAAATGTGAAACTTAAAACGTTTGCGACATTAAAATAGCGTACTTGATTTGTTTGTTTTGCACGTGCTGTTTGGCGCTACATTGTGACGTCACGTAAACAATACTTTAAACGTCTGTACAGCGTTAACGACTGAATAAAAGATATTGGTGTTCGGATTCATTTTCTTAGTTAGACCATTTTCTTTCATTCTATATAGTTTTCACCACAAAATTCGACAAAAAATTGTTTTTATTTATCAGATTTCAAACAAAATGGCGCCTTGGATTTTCATTTTTATACACAGCTTCCGTTATTCTGGTTCCCTGTCCAATTATGGTTCCCATAGGCGTACGTGGGTGACCAGTCTACACATCCGTTTTCAGTCAGAATTCCTCAGTTTTTATCGCTATCTTTAAATTCGAAAGGTTGCGATGTGTCCAATTCGGTACTTTGGACGAAAGTTTTCAAAACCATCACTTAGCAGGTACTCGCGTTACCGTAAAGCTCGCTTTGCGAGCAGGCCCTTCGGGCCAGCTCGTCGAGCTCGCTATTATAAATTTCACAAATTGAATACAAATGAATAAGCTTACAGGTTTTCATTTTAAAGCAGCACGCCTCCAGATTCATGTTAAATTTCATGAAAACTTTGATTATGTAGTTCTATTTGACAGTAAAATATTGTGAGGTGAACAAATAAAGTTATTTACATATTGTAATTGGCACTTACAATCAATGCAAATAACCAAAAAAAAACCTTACTGCGTTAGTAACGCAGTAGAAATATGGTGATAAAATACTGCAAAATAAGTCTTAAATCGCAAATAACATGTACTACACTTTAACATTGATCTTGATTGTTTTTACCTTTATTGAAATATTAGTACATTTTTCTCAATTTTCATTTTCTTGAAATATTTTGGCTCATCTGAAGGCGTGCAGCTTTAAAATGTTTTTTTCGCTCATCGCAAAATCAAATAACGATCCAGATTAAACTGTATGCACGCTTTTTTTTATGTTTCATAATATTTCATGTTCATGCTTAACTACATGTATATACTGACATAAGTATATAACTGTTATACACTGTCACAAACTTGCTGAATTTACTAAAACAAAACGACATATAAACATAATAATTTAGTGAACAGCAAAAAGGGGAGTGCTTATCGTGTATCCCGACGATGAGGATTCATATTATAAAAATAGAAATGTTGTAATAATCGGTGTTGCTTATTTTCCATCTCTTTATCATCAAAATGACAAACACTAAAATGATAATCAACAATAACTTAACAGTTTTAGAAACAACCTGATAGTTCAAATATACAGACAGGTCATGTTGCTGATATGAGGGTGAATCGGTTAAATTCAATTAGTTAAAGATAGTGTAACAGGGAAAGAAAAATGTGTAGACTGACTTGGACTCGAACCCGGGACCTCGGAAAAACGTATCGTGAGTTATCCGGTCGCGTACACGGTCTCTTATAGTCCGTGACAGATAGTACTACATGTACATGTATAATATTGTATTTATAGTAACAACAGTAACTATTCAAATTTAGAATAACTCTCATATTTAGTTTTTTATCCAGTTTCATTTATAATTTTATGGACTATTTTCTGTGTCAGATTAATCTTTACCTTTTAGGATTCGGTAAAGATTCGTTTACTACTCCTGCTAAAATACATAAATTTTTAAAGTGAAGAAACTATCGAACTAGATTGTCCCCTCCTCGTATGTTGAAATTATGTTCGTATCGGGCTAATATTCTTCTATAAACTAAAGAAAGAAAGTCACCAAATGGCATATTGTTCATATGATTTACCCCCTCACCGCCCAAAATGGAAAGAAAAGAAAACAACGAAAAACAACATATGTGATGATATTATAATAGATAAATCAGAATAATGAAATTCGCTCATATAATAATTTTGATTAACACTTTTTTACCTTACCTTAAGACACACTATATCATGACAGGAATAATAAATCAAAATATAATAGAACGTTAGTTTTATAAATGTTATGGTTAAGTACATACCTAAATGGATATGATATGGGATAGTAATTATGACCTCAACCTATTCTCAAACTTTAAATGTGTAAGATGGGCTACTAGCTCAACTTATGGAGATGGTCCAGTAAAAAGCTGACATATTACAATTTGTAATATCAAAAGTTCAATGTATCATGGTGTTTGAGTAAGTCAATATAAAATGTATTAAATAAACAGATTAATATGATTTGTAAACGTCTGCATGTTTTGTTTCTGATTAAAATGATAAACTGAAGACATGGACCATGCTCTTCATCCCATTAGTGTCTGTATCAGTAAACTCACGGACAATGAGAGATGTTTTACCAACAGACACTCTTGTCGGCTTTATAATCGTAGATGCGGCTGGGAAAATATTTTCTACCATCATATTCCCGTGCTGGTCCAGTATAAACACGCGCTTCTCTTTCTCAATCGCCGCGTAGACCAAACCTCGTCTGCTATCAATACTGCAGACGACATTTTGCGTGGGCAGTGTCCATATGATGTCACCGTTCCTGCTCATGCAGATTACACCAGCTTCCGTTCCGATGAGAAGTTTTCGATTGTCAGGGGCAGTGCAGATTGAGGTCATGTTTCTAAGGAAAGGGTCATCGTTACTACCACTTATAGTCTTTACCTGAAAAAAATGTTTAGTTTTTAAATTTTTAATTTTTGTATTCATTCACGGTCAATATGAGTAAAATGGTGATTTCATTGTCACCGGATGCAACCAATACTGACTCATAAAACCTCTTGGTGTTTATTTCAATAAATAACGCTTAGCGAGATTCGAACGCAGAGATGCTGAGAAAGTAATGGAAATTTACTGTCACAGTAATTTGATTACACGTGTTATGAACGTTTCAGTAAAAATGAACAAATAAACAATCATTTGTCCAGTAGTTCTTTTCGAAAACAAAGACCAAAAGTAAAGTTACGGATATTAACAATGCATGTACTTATTATAATCTCCCATACCTTTGCTGGTGTTAGCGTTATTTCCTCAATGAGACCATACGTGACTTGTAACTTCTCATACGTCACGACCATGACGTCGATGCAGTCCTCTCTGTTCCATACGTGCATTAACGCGAGATGTAGATGATACATGCAGCGTCCATACGGGTCCTCCGTCATCGTTGTTCTCATGTGACACATTCCTGTATACCTTTAAATGCGAGTATGAGATTCAGCAGAGCAATCAGAACAAATGTTACAAGTAAATAACCAACTTGTAAAGTTTGATAATAGGAATTTCGAGAAAAAATGAATAATATGTAAAAAGTTTCCATTCTATCTTGTAACTTAAGACAATGCTTCATATTATTGTATTATTAATACATGTGCATGTAACTGTTAGATTTACAACAATTCAACTCCTCTCGCATGGCCTCTAATGAATGGTTAGGTAATTTAAAAGGTTCAGCGTTCTTTCATGTCCCTTTGATGAAAACATTTTTACATGGACCGCAAATAAATTAATTTCAACTTTGATTTAATATTGACTTACGCTCTATCCGTCTCGATTCTGTAAAGGAGCTGGAGACGTGGATGTGTAGAAATCAACGATACACCACAACTGTTGTCTAGCACGAGTATGTTGTTAGATTCGTCACGTGTATAACACAACTTTATAGGCGCGCGCAATGCCATACTCTGCAAGAACTGATACCTGAGGGAAAACTTCTGAACAGCTCTTTCAGTTATAGTTATTATATTGTTAGCTAATACGACGATATCTTCGCATGGAAACTCAAATATGGACTGTTGACTGATTCCCTTAAGGCTTAGTGACCTGATGTTGAATACCCTCGACGTTTGGCCAGCAGTAAGACTTCCCGCCGTCAACTTAGGTAAAATTGTTGGGTTTCTCTCTTGTATTTTCTGTTTCACAGGAATTGGATATTGGCTTGATTGTCGAGGAGTCACTGCCGATTCGATGGCTTGATTGTGTACAGAGACGGTGCGGTAACTTGCTCTTGATCTAGGAAAACTCGTGCTTACATCATTTGAACGTGGAGATACATGGGCACTGTACTTATCATTGAGCCTTACACTTTTCTCCTTCTCCCTCATACTATGAAATCGTCTAGAATTAAATGAACTTCCACTTGGGACTCTTCGGACCGTTGTAGGATTGAGCGGAGTCCATTGAGCACTCTCATTGACGACCACTATTGGATCAAGATTTAAATTCACCAGCTCTATGAACTGATCATCCGTTTGAACATTCACACAAAATGGCCGCTTTTCGACTGCAGTGAGGACAGTTTGAAAATGGTCAACTTGATCTTGTAATGGTTTCCAGAGACGTAACAAATCGTGCTGACCTTCCTGCGTTTTAACATTGACTGCCTTCAATTTATCATCCACCAACTTCTTTGTCTGCGAAATAAGGGCTTGAGTGGTTTTTAAATGATCTTTATCTGCAGGTTTTATTTTTGTTGCATTCTCGATCTGCACTCTTGTTTCTTGTATCTTTTTCTTCATTTGTTTGTGAAATCTGTCTACCAGATGGTCTGCTTCCCATACCTTCTGCAGTAAGTCATCGGTATGAGCTGCCGCAACATTGGAGTTGCCAATTCTTATAGCGTGTTCTTCCTGCAATCTGAGCTGACCTAGTAAGTCGTTTATATGTTTTTTGACTTCAGTAGTGGCATCACGGTTGCTTCTAGCGCAACATGGGGTTACTGTGTGCTTTGCTATGATACAGTCGGGACAGAATAAGTCGCGGTGATGAAAGCAATAATATTCCTTAAATTTATCTTCATGTACCTACAGTAAATAAATATACATAAATGTACTCTACGTCGTGTAATTTGAAGCTTTGATTCACATCATTAGAATAATATTTACATATTTCAGACAATGTATTACGGAAGAAACTATGGCTATCTTATGCTATTAACAAAAATTTGTCAGTTGATTTTAATATATCAATTAATCATTATTTGAATCTCAACTTATAAAAAACAATTGAATTAAAAACAATTAAACGCCATTATTGATGTTTGTTACATAAATTATATCAGTTTACCTCGCAAACTTGTGAGTCCTGGAACCTGGCTAGGGTCTGTAACTGTATGACACAGAAGGCGTCGACAGGGAACCAATCTGCCCAATCTTCGGTCTCTATACTCGGAATATGGTGACTTGCACGGCACTCTGGACACTCAAACATTCCATTTTTGTCTTCTCGCTTGTCAAACAAAACAAAACATAGTTATATCATTTGATAATCCGGAGACTGATCAAGTTCATTCGTTTAGTCTGATTTTCGGAAATGTAGAATAAACATTAGCTACTTGTATTTGTGAAAATAGTCGTCGCTGATATAAAAGAGAAGGCAATAACTCAAACATGTAAGGAATGATTTCTAAATTGATTTTTGAAAAGAATTAGTCAATAAAGGAAGATCTGTAATATCTATGTCGATATATAGTATTTAGTATCATATGTGGCAACAATCTACCAAAAAATATATATGTATGTTGTTGGTATTTGTGAGAAACATGATCTGTTCTGAAACAAAATGTTATTATTTATCATATAAAATTATGTCCATACTAAAGCACTTAGAACTCCAAAAACATTTTGTTTTCAGGAAATATTTTATAAAAATATCGATCTAATACATTTCTATTGTTGTTATCAATATTAAAAAAAAAAAACATTTATCAGAAAATGTGCCCATTGTAGACCAATACACTAATATAAAGAAGTATGGACACTTGGACACAGCTTATCAGTGCATGAAAACTTAACAGTAGTTTAGTTGCTATGCAATACGATATAAAACGAAAACAAAATATTCTCAGGACATTTTAGACTTTTGTTATTTTTTATTTTATTTGTGTTGATATCTTTCTTGTATTTTATAAAGTTTTACTACTCAATGAAACGGACAACATTCTAAAACGGACAACATTCTAAGATGAAAAAAATCCAGCTTAATTTGTTTCATTCATAAAAAATAAATTTTGATATATTCTACTGATTTACCTTTAACGCCGATTTAATAAGTCCCTTCAAACAGTCCTTACATAATGTATGTTCACATGGTAACCGTCTCGGGTCCTTCAACTTTCCTAGATGTATCGGACACCTAAAATGTTGTGATACTTGCTCAAAACTCCGCGAAGTTTTCGACATGTTTCCTTATGCTATATCCTTCACATCTACTGTATATCCATCACATCTACTGTATTTGTAGAAATATGTAGTAAACAAATATTTCTAACGTCATAATTATGTTTTGTTCCGTTCCATGGGTACATTTTTGAATAATTATTTTTCAATAATAACAATTGTGAACTATTTTAATTACCGTGTAATTATTCAATTTAAGAAGGACCTTCTTTGCCTTTGTAATACGAGGGTTATCCTTATTTAGAATACGAACAGTAAATGTATCTACTTTATTATGTGTTTATTTATTTCCTTATTTCGGTATTTATCTATGTTAATTGTAGAATAATACATTAAACTATTCAAAATTAAATGGCTTTTGTTTTCACTGATTGTCTTATTAACAAAATCCCCGTGACGAGCAACTACAACTTATCGTTGATCGAAAAAATAAAGATATTGTAACATATACTTTTACAATTCACTATTGTCTTCATTCACGGTTTACAAGTTTCAAAGATAATAGATCAAAACGACCGGCAGTAATTTTACTTTTGTCTACAGTGTTTTATTGTAAAGAATGCCATTTTATTGTATTTAAAATATCGGCGACATAACAGTCTTATAATTTGGGTGTAAATGAACTTGTTACAATACAAAGCACAATGTCAAGGGAAACTGAAATTAGTTTGTTGCCACAAAAACAAATTAAAATGACAAATATTTGTATCGTAATGAAAATAAGACTTCATAGCAAAATGTTGGATATTTTAATTATATTAAAAAATAATAAAATAATCCTACATTAAACGAGAACATATAAAAAAGCTAAAACGTTTTCGTACATTTTTTTTGTAAAATGTCTTTGAATAATTCTGTTTATAAATATAGTGACAGACTACAATGTAACTTCAAAGGAACACATGTATATTTCTAGTATTAAATCAATGCAGTGTACTTTAAAATCAGTCAAATACTAATGTGAATACATGCACAGTGCTTTTCCAGTCACTTTCACTAAACTCCCTAACAATCATCTGTTTCTTCTCCACGGAAACCCTGTTTGGTCTAACAATATCGCACCCTAGAGGGATAATATTCTCACATAGATTGTTCCCAGCTTCATCCAGGACCATCAATTTCCGCTCATTTTCTATGCAGACGTATACTAGCCCTTTGTCGCAACAGACGCTTGCTACAAACCGTACAACTGGACGCGTCCAGACGATTTCACCCGTTTTCCTGACACAGACTACTGCTGCTTCCCCGCCGACTATTAGACGCTTGCCATCGGAAGTTGCCGCAAGAGCGTTTGGGCTGCGTACAACTGAATGTTTATCACTTCCGATTAAAGTTCTTGTACGAATCGGTACAAGTTTGGTAACGTGTTTAGCTGTGAAATTACTAAATGGGTTCCTATCGTAAGATACTTTCAGTAGATCTATGCAATCCGCGCGCAAATCTGTCGTATGGGAAAGCGCGAAATGTTCATGATATTTTGTCCTTCCAAATCGATCCTCAATCATTTGTGTCCGCATGTGGCAAATCTGAGAGTAAGGTTTTTCTGTCTCTATCCGGTACAGTACAGTAAGTGCTGGACACGTACTTACGATTGAGATGAAACGAGTATTGTGGTTGACAGCAATGGTGACATCATCTCGCATAGCGCATAGTCTCCATGGGCAACGTATGTGGATACTTTCTATATATCTGTAGTCAAGCGTAAACTTTTGAATGGCTGTTTCAGTAAGTGTTATGAGATTATTATTGACTAGAACTATATCGCCACATGGAAGCTCAAAGTTTGATACAGGCAAAACGTCTTGTAATCTAGCTGCATTGTCTTTCAAGTTCTTTCCGGAGTCCTTAGAAATGAGCTCCCCTGTTCCAACTTTTGGGAAGATATTAGAATGACTTTGTGACCTTGCATTCTGTGCCAGTCTAGAAGGTGATTGATGACGTATCATCTGGGCTCTCGGTGTAATCTCGTCATGAGTAACGGGTCGTCTGCTTAAGGAATACAGTGTCGGCTGGTTAGATTTCACAGGAGATGCTAGTGTTATAGTTCTTCTGACCATCATTGGACTTGGAATAGACGTCGCTTCTGGTGAACCAATGGATCTTGGAGATTCTTGCTCCACCTCTATAACTAGAGATTGTTGATCAAATTTGCGCAAAGATTTATCTTTTGAAGGTGTTTGCGGATGAACATTTGATTCTGTTGCCACAATGAGCGGATTCTTGTCAAATGAAATGAAATCTATAAATTCTTCATCGGCTTTAACATTTACACAAAATGGACGAGTTTCAATGTCATCAAGAGCTTTGTCAAAGTTCTGAGTTTCGTGTTCCAGGGGTGTCCAAATACTGAGAATTTCATTGACACCGTCTGCTCGTTTAGATTTTGACGGCCTTATCACACCTTCCACGTGGGTTTTCGTTTTACTAATCAATGATTGGATTGTTGCAAGATGATCTCGATCTGAATGCGAGATTTTCGTACTTTCTACGACCCTTTGTTTTGATTCTTTTATTTTCGCTTTCATTGTTTTGTAGAATTTAGTCAAAGTTTTCTCAACTTCAGAAATTTTTCTCAAAAGGTCTTCCGAATGAGAAGACGCAATTTTTGAGTCCATAATCCTCTGCGCCCGCTCTTCTTGTAGTCGAAGTTTTCCGACTAATTCTTTTATTTGTAGACGAACTTCAAGAATTGAATCTTGTAAACTTCCGCATGAACAAGGTGTTTTCGTGTGACCTTCTATAACACAGTCTGAACAAAGAAGTTCTCTATGATGAAAGCAGAAGTATTCCTTAAATTTCTGTATGTGTCTTTCACAAACGGCCGACTGTTCATACTGTGAGAGCGTATGAAGTTGAATGACACAGAACGCGTCAATCGGAAACCCTCGGGCCCAGTCACGGCTTGTACTCTTTGGTACATGATGTTTCGTCCTACAGACCGGACATTCGAACATTCCATCTTTCCTTGAAGTTTGGGCAGTCTCGATACATCCATTCAAACATTCGGCACAAAATGAATGCTCACATGCAAGTATCCTAGGATCACGTAATTTTCCCAAATGAATTGGACAATTAAAATGTTCCACAATATTCTTATATTGTCTATGTTCTGTCATCATGAACTTCTTCTTTCTTCAATTCGACTGAACACTTTTAGTTCGTGTGTATATATGTCTTGTCACAGAGCTGATTTTATATAAAGACTTATTTTTGTTTACTTCGTGAATCAGTTAGATACATAAATAAATGTTTATACTTGTACCGGTGTCTTTTGTCTTTAAGAACGGGTAGTAATTGATACTTTCATTTTAAGTTTAAGGTAAAAATAAATCGATAAAGGGAAGTTAATCAAGTCCTTATTTGATATTCTTCTGTAAAAGTTGTGTCCCTTTTTATCGCCTGCATTCAATCAGCGGTAGAGGGCCGTAACCTTGATATTGCATTTGATGTTTTTGTAAAAGTTATTTCCCTTATCAAACTTTATATTATCTACATACCGCAGTATATAAAATAAAATATTTATTTATAATAATGGTATCAAAACTTTCATATGTCTTCTTCATTTATGAAATGAAAGTGACAAAGTGTAGGTAACAAAAATAATGTACTTGGCAATGTATTTTTCTAGTCTTTGATATTTAATTGCATTACTTTATGTGCATTAGATATCACAAATTTAATCTGTTTACTATTACCTGCAATAAAAAGTCTCGGCATTATGAGATATACTTTTTTCCAGGTTTTTTTCATGAATTTATAAATATGCCAGGATAAGCAGCAAATAAGAAAATTGTTCACAAGTTTACTAACTGTTATTTTTTAAGTGAAATAAAGATATATAATTTAGGACGACGTTAAAACACATAACATACCATTAACAGATTCTTATTTATAAACGAAAAATCTTTTTAATTTGCAAGTATTTTGGTCATTTTGTGTATAGAAGTTTAACAGCGATTACATTGTTCTATAGAACGTGTATATCGTTTCAAAGATAGATAAAAAATGTTTATAAGTAAAAACATTTCTGAACATACAAAGTCGACTGATAGAGTTCCTGTTAAATATGGATTACACTGAACAAGAAGACAAGGTTATGTTGACCAAAATGAAACGTTTGTCTGTGCTATAAAACCAGAACTATGAAGCAGTGACGCATATGTTCATTATTAAATATTATTGCTCGATCTGTGATTGGGAAACATACAAAACGCCCTGGGATGTCATTTTATTATAAAGACCGTGTCATCCGACAACTAGCGTACAAAACGGCGCACGCGCTGGGCACGTGGCGGTTCCGGTTGCGAATAACGTTTTAATGATGCACCGTTGGCCAAAATTCATTTAAGCCGTAATTGCACGGAAAAGTTTTATGATAATTAAACGGAAGTTAAAGTAGTATTCAATAACAGTGAAATGTTAATACTGTGTCTTGTTTTCTAATTGCAAGTTCTCGTCTCTTAATTATTGTTGACTAATTGGAAAACAAGGATTCTTTGATCACGCTCTGTTTTTATTTCGTTGGGTTGAAACAGAAGAGAGATTTCAAATTGTCAAAGCGTGATCATTTTTCATGCTTCAAAATATCATTAAAAAGGGAGGACGTAGCGCACTAACAAGTTGTAAACGCTTAAGGGAGCAAAGGGAATCAGTCTGGCCTTATGTAGACCAATTTGTATTCGATACTAAAAACTTTAAAATCTTTGTTAAAACGTTCGATTATCATTCCCGTTGTATGAAAATATCTACATGTATTTTGTAGATACATGTATTGTACAGTATCATGGAATTTTATTGGTGTACATATATCAAACTGATACTGTAAATTCATAAATACTTTTCGTAACTTGTTTAGAAATTAATTGCTCATCTCATTAAGGAAGACCTTAAACAATAAACATCTTTAAATAGCTGAATAGCTTTCTAACACAAACAGAGAAACGAAGACAGTTGTTATATTAGCGATATAGATCAATTTTATGACAAAGAAGTTATCAAATTATTAAAAAGATAAACATTGTCATGACATGGTATGATTTAAACTTATGCTTCACTTATACATACTAGTTTACTATTAAAAATCTAAACCAACCTTCCTTAAGCTAGCCGATGAAGATACGCGATGAATAATAATTTGAAAAATGAACATAATGAATAACACTATCATTGATAATAGAATAAATTATTGTATTTTTAGAATAATGTAAATGAGTGTAGCATTTTAGCATTATACTTTTCTAAAATAAATGTATAAGGTATATTGAACGCTGTCATAACTAAGATTTTAAGAAGATACAAGATACAAGATACAAGAAACTTTATTTTAAGTCGGTTTACATATTACAAGAAACATTAGCTAATAAGCTATTTACCGACAATAACAAAAGCATAAAACATATTTACTAACATATAACAGTTCTGAAAATAAAAACATATAAAACTATTAGCAGCTTAAGCATGAAATAAGAGTATCAAGGTTAAGAAGAACTTTACAATAAGATGATAAATTAAGGCATAGCTTGATGACATGCACAGTACATATTGTATTAAAGGTAATAACAGTTTCTAAAAGTAATAAATGACTGTAGTCTAGAAATTTAAGTATGATACATATAGCAATGTGAAATAAATAAAAATAATAATAAAAATAAAAAATTAATAAAATAGTAATAGTTATAAGTTAACATCTACAATTATAAATACGTAATTGAAGGTTTCCTAAAAAATATATATAAATAAATAAATAGATAAAATTAAACTTACTTATAAAAGTGCATAAAAATTTATGATAGAACTTATACAGCATAAAAAAGAAACAAGATAAAGCACATACAGTGTAACAAACAAAATTAACTAAAATTAAGTTGCATGCACAGCCTAATGGAATGGGGAATAAGGAGTTTTAATATGAACAAAGCATACAAACACAACAAAGATTCAACTAGCATAAAATACAAGGGTTTAAGAAAAATTAACACACAACATATAATCAAAGCATCATAGCAAACTAAAAGGGATGCACAAAAGCAAGGCAAACAAACAAAACATGTAGTCTAAGCATTTACATAAATTAAAACTAAGCAGAAAAACAAACACATAGCAAATTTACAAGCACATAGCACATTTACAGCTTGGGCCACTCCAGACCTGGATCAGTCTCCCAAACTCTTTGTAATTTTCAACCTTGCGGATGTCATTAGGGAGACTGTTCCATATCTGGGCACCTTCAAACTTAAAAGAATTCTTACCGTATGTTACTGTTTTGACCCTTGGGACATTTACACTTTTTTGATACCTAAAAGAATAATTGGAATTTTTAAATTGAATTAAATCATTTATATATGGTGGTGATTTTCCGTACAGGCATTTAAACACTTCTTTGGCTATTATTTTAATTCTTGACAAATGTAAAGTAGGCATATTAACTTTTTTTAATAATGTGTCATATGAAGAATTAAAATCATTAAATACTATTTTTAGAGCTCTATGCTGGAGTTTTTCAAGTTTTTCTGTGTTTGTTTTGGAGCAAAAATGCCAGACAAGGGGACAGTAGTTAAAATTAGATCTGATAAAAGATTTGTAAATAAGAAGAAGACATTCTGAATTTAAAAATTTCCTAATTCTTAAGAGCACATTTAATTGATTGGCAGCTTTTTTACACATTCTGGTGACCTGTATATCAAAGTTAAGTAAAAAATCTATGTCTACCCCTAGCAGTTTAACACAATCTTCACATTTTATTGTAACATTATCAATTTGAAATTCTTTTAAGTGTTCATTTGTTATTTTCCCAACAGCTATGGCTTGAAACTTGTCAGGGTTAGCTTGCATTTTATTAATGTTAAACCAGTTAATAAGTATTTTACTTTCATTTTCTAATGTGTTTTTCAATATGTCTATTTTAGAGTTGGAGAAGGCTAGAGTATTGTCATCTGCATAATTGTAGAGGATGGATTTATCTATAAAATAAAAAATATCATTCATGAAGATGTTGAAGATTAAAGGTCCAAGAATAGAGCCTTGTGGCACCCCCTTAATTGTTTCAAGCCAAGTGCTATGATACTCTCCTATTTTAACTGTTTGTTTCCTGTTTGAAAGATAGTTTGAGACTAGAGAACATGCATTTTCAGACAACCCATATGCCTCTAGCTTTTGGACTGTAAGATCATGCGGTAGACAGTCAAAAGCCTTGGACAGGTCCATTAGGATTGCTGTTCACAAGAAACGTGAACGAATATTTCCCATAGCTTTTTTTGTTAACAGTGTATGGGTATAATATCAGCGGACATTTTCATTTATATTTAAATGCAGATGAAAGCATTCATTTCCATCAACTTGTTAATTGAATTGGTTTAATTCAAATTTCAAAATTTTAAAATCCTTTTAAAATCACCGTGAGAAATCCAATTCAATTAAGTTTATAACTGTAGATATCAATTATTCAAGCTCAATTAAAATAGAAAAAAAAGTTACAAACAACATGAAAAGCGGAACACGTGTTTGAACATAAAAAAGAGACTATGTTTTCACTTAAGGGTATTTTGGCCACTCGTGCATGATAGTTGACGAGTCTGTATAAATATTATTAATAAATATAGCGCCGCTTCGTGACATTAACAATAAAATAATATAGTGTTCTGAGCCCTGAGCCATGTTTGCCAATATTACCCATAGATTATAAGCGAAAATGTCCGCAAACAGAAAATTAGGAAAAAACGACTTTCATTTAAATTCGGGACATTAGCTTAACATGTGTTACAATATGTTGTGGAAATGTTACAAAAAAATTTGTATATAAATTCGTTTGAACAGGTTCTTAAAAACGCCTAAATTAGCACAACTGCATTGTATATGACTGTATGTTACCTTACGTCGGTTTGTGTTAAAAATAACTTTTTCTGATTCTAAGAATATTTGTGTGTGGTGTCTGCTAGAATAACATTTATAAAGGACTTAAAATAAGCTGAAAATATATGCCAAATAGATGTCTACTTCGTTTTTTTGCCTTAAGTAAATCATTTCTTTGTACTCCTAACATATATTTCGAAATAATTTTTTCCTTAATGGAAAGATAAATGTTCAATATTAATTGCGCTCTATTGCTAAATTGCCATAATGTGACGCAACCATATCTCAACAGACGTGTACACGCTGCCAGTCACAGACAACAGTTAAAGAAAAGTTGCATTTTTAACATAAACGTATTCAAAAATGCGCATATAAATGTTGAGAAAA